AGGAGGCACCGTAAGTAAAGTGAGTGAATCACTGAGATTTATAGCGAGTGTTATAAAATTTGTTAAGTGTATTACAAAGTTTGTATCGAAAAAGAATTAAGAAAGGACTTGTATCACTGAAGTTTCTCGGAAAGAATTTCGACGGGAAGTTAACAAACAAGCAGATACGCAACAATAGTTTTAGCTAATAATCATCTTTCTAAAAATATTATTATATTATAGTTTTAATTAATAATCATCTTTGTAATAAGATTATTATATTATAGTTTTAGTTAATAATCATCTTTCTAAAAATATTATTATATTGTAGTTTTAATTAATAATCATATTTGTAACACGATTTTCAGATTTCGCTGAAGATGGTATGAGTGTATTTCGAAACGTTCGAACTTTGTAAATAAAATGTTTTATGTTTTATCAACCGTCTTCATTTTCATTTCTCTTGAAACTTCTGTGGGAACAATTGCCCTTGCATTGAACAGACTGAGAATCATCTGTCATACGTTACAACATTCAATGATTCTATTTAAATAGTCCTGAAATTTGCTGGCAGCCAGAGGGAAGGTCGCGGGATGAGCTACGTACTGTCATGTCGTCAATAGGGTCTGGGATAAGTCGTTAACAAACAAGAAACTTATTACTGATTCTTGAGAAGCCATTGAAAGCTAAAGGTTGAGGCTGTGACTGATTGTTGTCGAACGATTAGTTTGTAAACCTGGGATCCATTTTAAACCAGGAGTATTATACTTGCTACGTTTGTATCCAAGCCCGTTAGGCCTAAACCAGGATTATTATATTTGCTACGTTTGTATCTAAGCCCATTAGGCCTAAACCAGGAATGTTATACTTGCTACGTTTGTATCCAAGCCCGTTAGGCCACTCCGTGTCGAAGGCAATTGACTGAGATTATTCTTTGCAACAGGTTTTATTCTCAAACACAGACGAGGAATGGAGGAGTGGGTTACGACACGCCTACTAAGAGATGCCCGGATGCACACCTTCTATGGGTTAAACTGTGGTACAAGTTACGAATTCTCCATACTGGCCTATAATGACGTGGGACAAAGTCTACCCAGTAACGCTGCTGAAGCGAAGACCAAAGGTGCAGGTAATTATGACGTATGGATATCTAACACCATATTATCTGCAAGCTTCACAATCGAACAAGAATACTTCGTGTTTATTTTTTGCTATAACAACTTTACATTTAATGAAACTCCCCTTTTTTTGCTTTTCACGCGTAATATTTAATAAAAAAGCATACATTATCCCTTAAAGTTTCTTGTTAGCGCGTGTTTAAAGTCATTGTTCATCCAATCAACTGGAGTGACTTGTTAGCATGATGTAAGTTACGGTTTTAATAAATACACCTGATCGTGTAGACATCTTGTCTACAGTCTGAGGGGATATATCGTTAGATTCAGAAAATGTACTTGTACAACTAAATTTTCTTTGTCCTAACATTCATGATTATTTTAAGTATCTTTGTGAAACTCATTTTTTTCCCCTTTTCAGCCCCATCTTCTCCTTCCCAGCATGCCTTTATACGTATCAACGTAACGTCGGTAACATTACATTTCACAGAGTGGGACAGTGGCAGCTGTCCAGTATCATTCTTTGTGGTCAAATACAAACCGGAAATCACTCAGGACTGGACAATTATCAACGACCGTATCTTTCCACGGCAACCGACCTATAAAATAAACAATCTAACTCCGGCCACCTGGTATGAGCTTCGTGTACGAGCTCAAAACGACGCAGGTTCAACTGAGGCCGACTACAGTTTTGTTACTCTTCCTGTACCAGGTAAGTCACAGACAACCCACAACCAGTTAGTTTAGAGTTTTATTACTCTTCCTGTACCAGGTAAGTCACAGACAACCCACAACAAGTTAGTTTATGGTTGTGGGTTGTCTGTGACGTATCTTGTACCGGAAGAGTAATAAAGCTCTAAACTAACTTGTTGTGGATTGTCTGTGACTTACCTGGTACCGGAAGAGTAACAAAACTGTAAACTAACTTGTTGTGGGTTGTCTGTGACGTATCTTGTACCGGAAGAGTAATAAAGCTCTAAACTAACTTGTTGTGGATTGTCTGTGACTTACCTGGTACCGGAAGAGTAATAAAGTTAGTTTACAGTTTTATTACTCTTCCGGTACCAGGTAAGTCACAGACAACCCACAACAAGTTAGTTTAGAGTTTTATTACTTTGTCTGTGACTTACCTGGTACCGGAAGCCGGAAGAGTAACAAAACTGTAAACTAACTTGTTGTGGGTTGTTTGTGACTTACCTGGTACCGGAAGAATAATAAAACTGTAAACTAACTGGTTGTGGGTTGTCTGTGACGTATCTTGTACCGGAAGAGTGATAACGCTCTAAACTAACTGGTTGTGGGTTGTCTGTGACTTACCTGATACCGGAAGAATAATAAAATTGTAAACTAACTTGTTGTGGGTACCAGGTAAGTCACAGACAACCCACAACAAGTTAGTTTAGAGTTTTATTACTCTTCCTGGTACCAGGTAAGTCACAGACAACCCACAACCAGTTAGAATCTGTGTCAGACTGTCAAGAAAAATGTGATCATATCTTGAATCTGTGTCAGATAGTCAAATAAAATGTGATCAGATCTTAAATCTGTGTCAGACAGCCAATTAAAATGTGATCATATCTTGAATCTGTGTCAGATAGTCAATAAAATGTGATCAGATCTTAAATCTGTGTCAGACAGCCCATTAAAATGTGATCAGATCTTGAATCTGTGTCAGATAGCCAAATAAAATGTGATCAGATCTTGAATCTGTGTCAGATAGCCAAATAATATGTGATCAGATCTTGAATCTGTCAGACAGTCAAGAAAGATGTGATCAGATCTTAAATCTGTGTCAGATAGCCAAGAAAGATGTGATCAGATCTTAAATCTGTGTCAGATAGCCAAGAAAGATGTGATCAGATCTTGAATCTGTGTCAGACAGTCAAGAAAGATGTGATCAGATCTTAAGCACGTTATAATGGAGAAGAGAGAAAAGAAACAGCTGACTACTCAGGAATTAAAGTTTTTCACCCACACAAAACCAAAAAACATAAATAGATCATTCATATACAACCAAAACTCAAACTAGAATAACATTGGTGTGCCGTGGTTTCTATCATAACTAAACTGACGTGTTTTTTACTCAATTGTACAGGTCAGCCTTCCTCTACTGTAAGGTTCAGCTCTGTCCCCTTCTATACCAACCTGTCCATCATAGTTCCTCTGGCTGTCACCTGTGTTATCTTAGTTACTGTCGTTGTCGTTGTGTGTAGTGTCACCTGCAGGAGGCACGGGAGAAGACATCACCGGGAAAGTACGTTAACTCCTACCTGTTCCGTTTATGTTAACTTACATTTATACATATGGCACCTATTATTTATTAGTATATTACTATAATTTCCCATCTTTCTATTCGTTTGCATAGCTATTGTTTTATTTGTTAGGCTATTTTAGGTATTGATTAATACATCAATTTTGGTAGACACCATAAGGATGCAGAAGGAGGTAACTTCTGAATCTGTTCCTATGACCGAGGTAGAGAGTAAGCCAGAACCAACCTACCACACAGCTAAAGAGGACCCATACTACCCTTCTCCCTACGCCACCAGTAGAATACCTGTGTGTGAGGAACGGAGCAGTGGAGGCAGCAGTACCGAAGGGCACTCTCTATCGGACAGCAAGAGAATTTATGATATTCCTTTTGTTGTGAGACAGGTTAGAATGAAAGGTTAAAAAAAACAACAAGTGTTGATGTTTATGTAGACAGTATATTAATAAAATACTTAAAATAAAATGGTCATCCCTACATGTAAAGTAAAACACTCTGTCGTTGTTGATTTTTAAGATACTCAGTAGACATAATACAAATATACACGAAAAATCAACAACGACAGAGTGTTTTACTTTATATGTAGGGATGACCAAGATACTCAGTAGACATAATACAAATATATACGTTAAAAACCAACAACGACAGAGTGTTTTACTTTATATGTAGGGATGACCAAGATACTCAACAGACATAATACAAATATACACGTTAGTAGACATAATACAAATATACACGTTAAAAAGAATATCTTGGTCATCCTTACATATAAAGTAAAACACTCTGTCGTTGTTGATTTTTAACATGTATATTTGTATTATGTCTGTTGAGTATCTTGGTCATCCCTACATGTAAAGTAAAACTCTCTGTCGTTGTTGATTTTTAACGTGTATATTTGTATTATGTCCACTGAATATCTTGGTCATCCCTACATATAAAGTAAAACACTCTGTCGTTGTTGATTTTTAACATGTATATTTGTATTATGTCTGTTGAGTATCTTGGTCATCCCTACATATAAAGTAAAACACTCTGTCGTTGTTGATTTTTAACATGTATATTTGTATTATGTCTACTGAGTATCTTGGTCATCCCTACATATAAAGTAAAACACACTGTCGTTGTTGATTTTTAACATGTATATTTGTATTATGTCTGTTGAGTATCTTGGTCATCCCTACATATAAAGTAAAACACACTGTCGTTGTTGATTTTTAACGTGTATATTTGTATTATGTCTACTGAGTATCTTGGTCATCCCTACATATAAAGTAAAACACTCTGTCGTTGTTGATTTTTAACGTGTATATTTGTATTATGTCCACTGAGTATCTTGGTCATCCCTACATATAAAGTAAAACACTCTGTCGTTGTTGATTTTTAACGTGTATATTTGTATTATGTCCACTGAGTATCTTGGTCATCCCTACATATAAAGGAGGACATCGTGTTTATTTTAGTTACCTTGAAATGTAAAACATCGTGTTTAAACGAAGTTTAACCTACGTATTTCAAGTAAATGAACTTTTACAATACCACAAAACGACGTTCATTTAATTACCAGTAATCACTAAAACTGATACCGATAGATCCAATGTCATGACAAGCAGCGTCTTACCGAAAAGACGACAACTCAAAGTTTGTACACGTTAAAATGACACATATTATTCAAAGTTAAAACATCAAAAGTATTACTCTAAATGGAAATCTCCTTAAGTTCGAACCACTCTACAAAAAAAGGTCTAAGAAAGGTTTAATTTACTAGATAATCATCAGTCAAGATGACTGTACAAGTTTGTTGCTTTTTTCGTACAAAACTGCCGGATGTAATTGTGAAGTAATTTTTGTGTATTCTCCCCCCCCTCTATCTTTTGTTCTCACTAATGATATACGTCATTACCAACTTCTGAAATATTACTACGACAACCTTTAATTTTAAAGTTTAAAATCTACATTAATTGTTTATATGAGACGTTATATTCTGTAATATTTTTTTTTTATAATATACTTTTATAAATCTCCCTAGCGTCATTTTTGGGAACCAATTTCATTATCTTCACGACTCAATGAAATGCACACACATTTATATACAGATGTTTTTATTCGTCTGTTAAGCGCAAAGCTACACAATGTGCTGTGGGTATCGAAACTCGATTTCTAACGTTATACGCCTCAGACTTACCGTGGAGTCACTGGGAAGGCATATATACATATATTTATGTAATCATCCTAAGTAAGGTTTTTTTCTTCTATACATAGAATTGCTTTAAAACAGACGTTATATAATTTAATCTAGTGTTAAAGAAGTCTGTATAGGAGCGCGTGAGTGTGATTTTATTAGGTTTATCTTTAGCACACGAACTAAATGTTTAAGCAACTATTAATTGTATGATTTTATATTATTTTTTTCCACAGAATAATAAGCGAATTAATTAACGTCTTCCGAGAACCTCATTTGCATGATTTTTTTAAAGATGTTAACTCAGTTTTTAATTTATTTAAATTTTGAAAATAAGAAAGGATAAATATAACGATAAAATTAAATTTAGTAAGTTGGAGTAAGATGAAAAGTAAACTGCAAATAAATAATACACACTACATATATCTATATATTGTATTTATACACATTATTTATATATGTATATATGTGTGTGTGTGTATATGTATGTATATTCACATTATTTCTATATGTATATACATATGTTCTGGTATAATTGTAGATATGATAATTATTACAACTTCTGCATTAATAACGTAGAATTTCTGTAGAAAGAATATTGTTAATAATTACCTTCATATAAACTATGATATAAAATATAATATAAATTATAATATAAACTATGATATAAGATATGATATAAATTATAATATAAACGATGATACAAACTATGATATAAGATGTGATATAAACTATGATATAAACTATAATATAAGATATGATATAAACTATGATACAAACTATGATACAAACTATGGTATAAACTATGATATAAACTATGATATAACATATGATATAAACTATGATATATGATATAAATTATAATATAAACTATGATATAAACTATGATACAAACTATGATATAAACTATGATCCAAACTATGGTATAAACTATGATATAAAATACGATCCAAACTATGATATAAACTATGATATAACTATGATACAAACTATGATATAAACTATGATATAAAATATGATATAAACTATGATCCAAACTATGATATAAGATATGATATAAACTATGATATAAAATATGATATAAACTGTGATATAAACTGTGATATAAACTATGATCCAAACTATGATACAAACTATGATATAAACGATGATACAAACTATGATATAAACTATGATATAGACTATGATACAAACTATGATACAAACTATGATATAAACTATGATACAAACTATGATATAAACTTATGATATAAACTATGATATAAGATATGATATAAAATATGATATAAACTATGATATAAGATATGATATAAAGGCCTTTTTTTAAAACAAATTATCTTTAAGTCGCCCCTTAACAAGTTCGGTAAAAATTGTAGTTGAAAATTTAGTTTTTATCAGGTGCACATTTTTTAAATATCATATCAGTTGATGGATTAGATTTGAAAATATCATATCAGTTGCTGGATTAC